ACATGGCTGGAATGAATTTGCATTGTTTCTTGGAGTTCCTGGGGCTAGGCCTGACACTCTGATGACAAAAGAGTCAACACAGCTGGGGAAGTCTAATTCGGATGGTCTTCTCTGGCCCAGCTCTGTTGGCTCTTCCTGGTGACTTGAGTGGCAGAGGACTTTGAGTGCCTTTTTCCAAGGAGAAAAATACGTGTGTGGTGTCTGAACAGCCAAAAAGGAGGGAGCACTCCCTGTCCTGGCTTAATTTGACTTCAAAGTCCTTGCTCAGGGAAATGGATAATGCAGCTGAATGCACTTTCTTTAAATGCCTTCATTTCGCTCTCAAACTTGGGCTATTAATTCACACTGTTTGATCAAGACTGGTTAATTAAGCTACTCCCTTGATATGGACTTTAAGCCTTCTTTCATTTATTTGTTTTACTCTTGATATCCACCCCATTTCCACAGTGGGCACCCTGAGAGTCCCCTCTCCTTGTCCCACCCCAAACCAGGAGATCTTTCCTGGGGCCTCCAGAAAGCTTTTGTCCTGGCAGGTGAGTCGAGAAGTTCTTCCAAGTCACCCCCAAGATTAAAACTGCTCTGGTTTCTTTCCATTCACCCAACTGACTGACTTGGCTCAGTAAGCTGGTTCGTGCAGCCTCTGACTTGGATGATACGTCCTTGAGTAAGCAAATCAACGTGGCCCTCAACCAAGAAGATGACGTGCCTTTCCTCCCTTGGAGCCAAACTTAGCCCAATGGTTTTTTTTAAGATACGCAGTTTACTCTGAACATACAGATGGCTTGAGATAAAGGGCAGAAAGGGTCTAGAAGACAGTGTGCCAGAACACATGATGAAATGCCGTTTCCTTTGTGCACTGTCAAGAATCACTCGTGCTTTGGAACCAGAGCTCAGCTCGAGCATCTACACTTTCCTTGACGCCATCTTCCCAAACAGCTCTATAAAAAGAAGCAGGAGGACCAAGGTAGGCTGCTCAGAGCCAAATCCACACCTCCGCTGTCTGTTCTCCAGACCACAGTTGCCAGAATTAGCAGTGTGAGCTGGCAGCTGGATCCTGAAACATAGAGGTGGAGATCTCAGTCTGCTGGCTTGGGCAGAAAGCCAGATTCCTAATATTTATACTGAGCCTGGCCAGCCTAGAGGCTTAATACTGTCTGCCAACCACAGACGGGTCTCTGTGTTCTTCTGCAGAAGGCCGACTTGGAGGTCTGAGCCTGTAGCCTTGGTCAGCTATCTAAGACAGAGCTGGGTTTGCAAGTGTTCTACTCAAGCTATGATCATGTCATTGGTTCCTCTGGTAGGAATATCCGAGGTGGGAAGACACATCTCAGTTCTCCCCAGACCTATCCACAGATAAGCTACAAAGGTCCTACTGGCTTTTTTTAATCACATCTGGAATGAACTGGGTTACCTAATCCAATATCCTCTGGTGTCACATCGATTTAGGGCTGCTATTCAAGATGGAGGATTATTTCGCAAGACCAATGTAATGGTTAGGGTGGGAATGACCTTGGGAGACTGGGGCCAGAGATGCTGCCTAGGGAATGGTCAGATAAGAGACAGCATAGTCCACAGCTGGACAGTGGGCAGGGCAAGAGGCTCAGAAGGACCCTCCCTAATTTCTCGGGGTGTAAAGGAGACAGGGGAGAATTGTACTTTCAGTCTTGCAAGATTTTGTAAATATAGCCTTACAATAAAGTAGAATTAGCTCATCTGGTCATGTTTCCTGTCTGGTCCACCAGGTTAGGCTGACAACCATCAAGTCAACTTCAATGACGAGATGGGGATAACCATGAATGAACAAGCTTCACTCAGATTAGATCCCAGGAGGGAGGCAAATTGTTGGCGTGGATGTGGGGGTAAACATCCAGATGACTACATTCTCTTCGTTGCCCTCAGATGATCATCTGGATTATGCAGCCTACATCTAGTAGCTCAAGATAAGCGGGGACTTGCAAAATGACCCAGTCCATCAACACAAGGAGAGGAAATCTAAGTTTTCTGGCAACCATAGGTGTGGAGCAACTGGCTAAGGGTTGCAGACTGTCTTCCAAGCCAGGTTGCTCTCCTCTAAGCACCATGGCAAACCTGTCTCACTTCATCTGCTCCATGCTGGGAATAACTTGACCTATCAAATTTGGACGTGGCAGCTGTATTCATGCACATACAAGAATACTGATGCGCACAGGTCCCGTCACACGGGCAGCTGCAAATCTTCCCAAATCCTCTCATCAACAGAATGGAAAGAACTCAGGAATTTTTTTAAAAATTGATGGCCGTAGATGGGTAATTTCATCCATCCAGTTTGATCTGGGAGCTTCATCTGAGGTCTGAAGTCCTCAATGTTTTGGGCCTGGAATATTCCCACTGAAGCAGAAACCGCTGCTGCCGGGAGGGGGCAATGCTGCAATGACACCACGGAGCAGACTTGCGCAAGACAGACCCCGAGACGTTTGTGTCCTTGGGAAGGGTGGCTGGAAACCGACTTTTCCTCTCCAGCCGCCTGTCGTTCCTGCTCTCTCTGCTCGCTCGCTGCTCATTTTAACTGCCTACAATCAGATGGAATTGTAATCAATTCATCGCTAAATGTTTTATGCTGTTGAGGAAAAAGAGCATTGTTTAAATTGAAACGATACACTCGCACCCATAAAACGAACACAAACATAGAAGGGCAAGAACGGAAGGGGGAAAAAAGCATCTGGTGCTTCTCGTCTGCCAAGCATCACTTTTCCCTTTTTTTTTTTGGCTAAAAATTGTCCTTAGCAGACTCCAGATAGTGGAAGAGCCCACCAGCCTCCCCCCTCCAACCCAAGATCTTCAGAGTAATGAGTAAGGGGGGTTGGTCACTGCAGTAGCCTTGCAAAGACACGCAAGCTGAAAAAGGGCCGGATCAAAGTTGGAGAGCTTCCCGGCCTCTGTTGGGTTGGTCAACTGACCTGAAGCACTTGTCCCTCAAGAAGCCTCCCAAACTCCAGCACTTTTGGTGCTTCACCTGTGGTCTAGGTCCGTTCCAAGAACAAGAACCCGGAGACACATTTTCCAGCATCCTGGCCCACCCAAGCCCTGTCAGCTGACTCAGATGGGCCAATCATTGAAGGCCAGGCTGCATAAAAGCCCTAATCTCCATGCTTGGTCCTCACTCCATCCTCTTCCTTCAGCTCTTCTGCCCCAAATGCTTTTTCTTTCAGCATTTGCTTTGCTCATCACTGTTTCAGGTCATGCACCAACTTCTGGACAAAAACCAGCTTCTAGTCTGATGTCCCCAGGGTCTCCTGGTGAAGTTGACATCTGTACTGGTCCAGCTCCATCCCACTAGACTTCCGTGACTCTCATGGGGTCAGGGGTCCTGGAATGAGATGTATTTCTCCTATCCAGAAACAGAATTTCACTCTAGCTGTTGAAGAACCAACTCCATCTGCGATCTATATAGTGTTTTCTCCCGGCTGAGTCCACCAATACAGGTTTAATGGCTAGACAGTCTCAGTACTGACCGTGGTCTACTGTTAAGATTCAATTGCATCCCTCTGAGTCGACTATCTGGCATGTTATTTCAAGTATTTCTATGCTGCTTTTCACAACCAAGTAGACTTGCTGCCCTTAGCAACTAAGATCAGGTCCTAAAATCTGTACCAAACCCCCAAACGTCTGAATATTTCACAACTTTAATTCAAAGGTGCTCCTGATTATAAGAGGTGATCGATTTCCCTTTCTTCCTTCTTAGCTGCCAAACGGCTTCTACCTGGAGCTGCCGGGCCACCCGCGAGATGACATCGAGATTTTATAAAAGGCTCTTTCCCCACCCACCCACCCCCTTTCCCCCAAATTCACAAATGGTAAATCACTCTAGATTTATTACAAAGTACAAAAGTACAAAAGTCAGTCGGGATGATCCCACCGGCGAGGTATGGAGTCAATCTGGATGCTGGGATTCTCAAAAACGCGGAACCAGAAGCACATGTCATTGTTGTCATGATTCAGTAATTCACCCTATTATGCAAGAGCCTTCCTGAGCGTCTTCCTTCAGCCCCTTGCAGACGGGCCTGCTGAGAGCTACGGTTCCACCTAGCGTTCAGAAAGGGATTAGACGGAGGGACCGCCAAAAAATGAACCACCGAGGGGGTGGGGGGCCATGCAAAGGATCCATTTATGGCTGCCCGATCCTAAGTAGGAAGGGAATGGACATTTTGCTCTTCCTGAAAAGGTGAAATGATACAGTCCGGGCAGAGAAAGATGGGGGGCAACCATGCACCCCAAATTCTCCTGCAGCTGGAGAAGAAGATATCCGTGCAGTGGGCCTGCTTCTAAGCGGCTGAATGCTTCCCTCCATCAAGTCCAAAATTCATTTGGAAGGTGAATTTCCAAAAGCAAGCGGGTTGCATTCAGAGCCTATTTTGTTTTTCCTCCAAGGTTTTGCTCCTCACTCTCCAAGCAAGGCGAGATTTCCTGGAGACCTCCTTTCCTTCTGCTGCTGCTTTCTTCCAGCGTGGGACAGCCAAAGGGCTTACAGTTCTTAGAAACGAAAGACCAAGTTGTTTGAAGAGCAACCAGACCCGTAGCTTTGGGTGATGAAGCTTCTTTTGCTTGCATCCCCTCCCTGACTCAATTCTTGGTTTTCAATAGTTTGAATAAGCCAAACTTGGTTTTCTTTTTTTCATTTTCCTGGGTGGTCCGAGACACGCCTGTGGGGAGGAAATACATTTTTAAACCATTGATCATTCCTTACAAAAGGGCTACGGGTCTCATTTAGAGAGGAGGAAGGCCGGGGAACTGAAGTGGTGTCACATCTTCAGAAGTTCATAAGCAGGGAACACATGTCTTTGGTGGTGGCATCATTCTTCTGAATATGGATTATTTAGCCATCCTCGGCTCAGAGGTGGGGACAAAAATCATTGGAGGTGGCATTAAGGCTTCCACGTTCTCCTGGTGGTCTTCTCAGAGGTATCTAGTTTGACGACTCTGCTGTGACCCAGCAAGGTCTCAACTAGGACTCACTGCAGGGGGAACAGGGAATGGCTTTGAAGGACAAAAGGAAGAACCGCTGCCGAGGCAATGGTCATAAGAGGGACATGAGTCTGGGCCAAGAAACTAACTTGACTCTCAGACAAGCTCCTCCCTAGTTCACAAAAAGATAAAGTGGGGGAGGGGGGAGCACACTCAGACTGGCAAGACTTGGTTGCTAGAGCTTTACAATAAAAGTAGTTCTGACCTATATGGCTTTGATCTCTTAGTCTGGTCTAGCTGACACTTACCAAACTTCTTGATCATGGCAGCAATCATCTCATCTTCTTCTAGTTCCCTAGAGAAGAAAGCACAGCAGAGAGTCCAGCAGCTAGAACAGTACTAGGCCTCCAGGTGTTGAACTAGAGATCCTAGCATCCCTCCCCATGGGTCATCACTGGCCAGACATTGGAGTTCATCAAGGTCTACAAGGAACAGAAAACTGAGCTCCATATCTGAAATGTCCACTCAAGTTAAGTCACATCTGAGCAAGGACTGAAGCAAACACGTTCCACACAATCTTTCCCAACCACCCTCAGTTCCAGGTTTCAAGACATAAATTCCACAAATTTATGCTGCTTTGAAAAACAAAGCAATTTATGGATTTGGTGGCCTGTCCCGAAAGAAGACCAGTGAACCTTGGTGAGCTACATTCAGTCAAGGGCTTCTGAAGAGCGTAATTCTGGGCTATATTCACTGGACCATTCAGAGATATGGAATGACTTGTCTCTAAAGGAGGCTGTTTGTTGCGATCCTGCATGAGTCCCTGCTGTGTTCAATTCTCCCCCTAATCATGAAACCTTACAAAGGTCCTCAATCTTACTTCACCCCTTCAAAAAGCAAACCTTAAAATGCTGTTCGTTTTAAGTCAGCAAAAATGTAAGCAGGGCTAGGAAGAGTTTTAGGAGAAACCCGCCCGGATGAGCCAACAGCTTCTTTGCATTTGCTGTGTCAGCCCCGCGAACCCCTCCTCGCAATTTGGATTAGCAATCCAACAGCCACTAGAAACCACAGACAATCATCCCTAATTACTCCAAGATACTTGCCAAGAAGCTGGACCCCATGAACCTTGCTTGGCAGGAGAAACAACTGAAACTCCTCGTGGGGGCTGTTGGCCATTCCTTCGAAAAGCACAGGGCAAGGCAGAGGTCCTTTTTCAAAGTAACTACTTCTGAAGAAATGGGAAAATGGCAAACCGGAGAGGAGGGCCAGTTCACTTTTCAGCTTCTTTCAGCCCATGCGCTGAAGGGAGACCAGAGGCAGCTTTGCAACCAGAAGCTCTACAGGAGCGCTCCTGGTCCAGAATTTGTTGTCCAGAGCAGTTCCTGGATTGTCTCCAGAAGGTGGGCATTCTCAGCTTCTGAATTTGGGGAAGGGACGTAGAAAGGACCTAGAGGCTTAGAACAGGTGGCTCTGAGGGTCTGTGGTCTCCCATCAGCTTCAGCCAGACAGATTTATGGCCAGAGATGATGAGAGCTGCAACCTGACAACGTCTGGAGTTTAGGAACAGTGCTTGGAGGTAAGCCAGGTCAGGAAACAGACACCCCAAGAAATACTGGAACTCTACTTTCTTTTTTTTAGGGTATCGTGACTCTTGAAAGTCTGACAAAAGTTTCTCTTCCCCCCCCCCTCTCCAGTTTCCCCAACCACCCCAAAAAGGGGCACAAAGGCAGGGTTGTGTCCCACCCCCTGCGCCTCCCTTTTGGGGCGTTGGGTT